AAAAGGTGCTCTGGAACTGAATTTAATACTAAGTAAACCTTCCTTTGTACTTTAACAAAAGATGTTCTCCATACTGAGACGATTTTAACGGTCTAAAATTATCAAAACGACCCAGTAGATCGTCCGCAATGGATCTTCGAAATTTAAAATGTTTGTTTACATTTGTGGGCAATCTAATAGGTCCGTTTTTGATGATTTTACATGGTTAGAATCGTCTAAGCATGGAGAACAGCTTTGTTAGGTTTACTCAGTACCAGGTCCAGTTCCGGTGCATTTTATACTTTTTTGTTTTTTTGCAAGGGGATGCGCGTTAATTCGGGACGCACATGGGCGTTAATTCGAGGCTGCATATGCTATTTTTGAAGGTCCCAATTTTCAAAATAACGCCCATGGGCGTTATTTCGCGCTTATATGGTAGGAGGACTTTCGTCTGATTGGTTGATATAAATCGATTGCCTGGGTATTTATACATTTAAAGTACTTTTTAGTAACACAACGTTTTACTAACAAAAAATCGTCGCAAAACCCATTCATAGCTTTAGAATGGCGTCAATATTCACTGCACAAAAGTATCAAAAAAAGATTATACTCCCGGCGAACTTCGTTTAGAAGACAAAATATACCTACCATTTATTGGACAATCTCAAATTATATTGAAAAAGAAGATAAGTGGAAGCGTTTTTGTTTAAAATTGCCTTGTTATGTTAGATTTTAAAAAAAAACTTTTATTACTAACTATTGGATTTGAACAAGAATAAGTTTATTGCAAAAGAAGCTCCAGGTTTAATGTTTGAATATGTTTTGTTCTTGCATTGTATTTTGGTCTATCAATCACAATAAGTTTTGGTTTATAAATTGTAGATTGTATTAATGAGTTTGGATTTATTGATAATGAATACCACTTTTATTCCACTTTGCGTATTTGAAATAGTTGATTCTTTTTGTATATTTAATAATTTATGGGCATTTTCATAAAAAGTTTATTTTGTTTTCTAGTAGTATTAAAAGCGATGAATTTTTTTAAAATTATGTAATTTGATTGGCTGATCATCACGGGTGATTACGGGTAGATCCATGAATTCATATGATTGGTCAATTTTTGTAGATCTACCCGTGATTACCCGTGATAATTAACCAATAAAACTACACAATTTTTAAAAATAGGTATAAAGAAGCTTATAAACTAATAAATGCACACAAGAATTTATTTCAAGTATTTAGAGAATAGATATATACGCGTAAAAGTGGGTAAATATACCAAAAACCCGAATCCATTAAAGAATCTACAATATATAAACCAAAAATTTTAATTTACGGCTGACAAACACAAATACACTACAAGAACCAACCAAATTTAAAACTACACTCATCTAACTGTTATAACCCAAGAGTACTAATTTAACAACGAACTCAAACCTGAGTACCAAATATAACAAACATTTAGATCCACATAGAAAAGACTGTATGCTGCCAGATCTAACGAACTAATTTCTATAAAATCTACTACGCAAGACATAAAAGTGTTAAAACTATTCTTAACATAATAAATTAAACAACAATAAAAGTTCTTTAGTATGTAAAACTTAAGTCTCGTTCATCCTTTTCAGTCTTTTCCAGTTGACTATTTCAGGCATTTGACGCTTATATACGCTTATATATAGTTACTATAGTAATAAGCAGTAAAATCTTCGCTTCTAAGTGAAGTTATCCAGGTTCTTGATTGTTTTTGATTATTTTTACATAGTGAATATTGGCATTCTTCCGTACGTAATGGTAGTATTTACGATAGTGAAACGTTACGTTCTAAAAAATACTTTAAAGTGTAAATAAGTTACCCGGGCAATTGATTTACACTAGCTCAGTGTTGTACGCGGACATTGTCCCGTTAAAATTACAGGGACGCGGACAGTCCCGGACAGTGTCCCATGCCCCGGACAATGTCCCATGTCCGTGACGGTGTCCCATGTCATATAGTTTATCGAAAACCTGACTGGCTAACAAGGCCGTTCTTATTATAATTTTAATTGTCCGGGACAAAAAATGATCGCGGACATGTCCGCGGACGCCCGTCCCGGACTGTCCGCCGTCCGCGTTGTGTCCCATGACAACACTGCACTAGCTAATCATACGAAAGCCTTTCTATGAGGATCAACCCTCATAGGAGGACTTTCGTCCGATTGGCTGATGCAAATCAAGTAGCCGTGTAACATATTTATATATACACTTTAGTGTACTTTTTGAGAATGTAACGTTTCACTAACAAAAATCACATTCATAGCTTTAAACGGACGTTAGTATTAATATTCACTCTTCAAAAGACTAGAAGACAAAATATATGATCGTTTATTGGATCGTGAGAAATTATGCTGTAAAGTGAAGGTAACTGGAAATGTTTTCGTCTAAGACTACTTTACTATGCTAGATTTAAAGTAAAAATTTATTGCAACTATTTAATTTGAACAGATCCAAGCTCTTTAGTAACAAAAGATCCGGGTTTAGTATTTAGGTTTGGTTGGTTCTTTGTAGCATGTTTAGGTTTGCCGAGTGTTGGCTTATATCTTATAGATTCTTTAACGATCTGGTTTATTAGTAATAAATTCGCGGTTTTCACACTTTACGCGTATCTATCTATTCTCTAAATATGTGTAATAAATTCTTCTGTGTGTATTTATTAATTTGTAAGCTTCTTTATATGAAGTTTTTTTTTCGTTTTATATGTAATAGTATAACTGTATTAAAACGATAAATGTTTTTAAAACTTATGTAATTTGATTGGTTAATGATCACAAAAATTAACCAATTGTATGAATGTCTTCCGCCCGAAAAGACAAAAACAGAAAAAAAGTGAAAAACGCAAATAATACAAGAAACGGGTGGTTAAACCTGTCTCAGAGCATTAATAAAAAATGTCTGGAGGGCAATTTTACTATAAGACATTTCTAACCTTAACCCCTAACTAACCCTTACCCTAATTTTTATCAAATAGTCAAAAACATATGACTGCACTTATTTGCGCGAGTAATACAAACCCCTAAAAAGGAAATAGGCATAAAAATTTGACTGTTCCGGATCACCCCGACATGAATTCCGAACACGTGCTAAAGAAGAAAAAAGCGAAAATACTCAAAAACTAGTGTTTAAATCGACCTTGGTACACTAATTAAAAATGTTGGAAACGAAATTTTACAACAATCTATTGTTATAGCCGCTAATGTTAACGACCTAACCCTAAACTTCTATCTTTACGCACTTAGTTTATTTACAAAATTCGATTGCCTTTTTTGGTTTGTGTTACTCGCGTAACTAAGTAAACTCGACCCCCAAAATGGAGAAGATCGCCATTACGCAAACAAAATCGTCAACAAAAAAAATAATAATATAAACCAGGTTAGAAAACTGTTTTGTATATTCCTGTATTCTAAAACTGAAAATCTACCGTGAATAGGTATACATTACCAACATATATAAGCATCAAATGAATGTTACATTTCAAGTTTACAAAATTATAACATGTTACCTAATGATGATCGTAGCCACATATGTAACATAAGGAAATTAAACTTGGCGTAGTAAAATTGTTCAGAATAACGGTTTGCATATATTTAAAACCAACTATTATTTATAATAGGGTTTAAAAGTGCGTCGACCTAATAACAATTTTTTTATTTTCATTGTTTTGATCAAAAATGCCAAATACGACTTATTTAAAATTCCTAAAAGTTTGGAGTATATGCAAATCATTATTCTGAACAACTTTACTTCTACACCAAGTTTAATTTTCTTATTAAAAAATCAAGTTACATACGTATGTGGCTACGATCATATTACTACTGCACTAGGGGTTGAAATAGGGTTTATTTTTCATATGTTAAAACCGATCAACACCGGTTCAAACTCTATAAATCTTAAAACTTATAAGGTTAGTCCAGGTTAGGTTCGTGCATGCTTTTAGACTAGGCCCTCGCACGAAAAGTCTTATGTTCTAGGTTAAACAAGGTTAAGTTTTAGAATTTAACCCTAACCAATTGATCTATTAATGCTAACGTTAAAATACAGTAAAACACAATGGAAGACACATGGGTATTTTACTTTTACGTAAATAAACAAACATTTGTTTTACACCCGGGTATATTGTATGGCAGGGTATGTCATGTGTGGAGTATAATGTGAAGAGAGTATATTAACCTAAATCAAGGGGGCACTACATACCGATACTGTATCGATATTACAGTATTACCTCGGAGATTATTATTATATTATCTACGTAGTCAATAAGAGTCACGGAAAATTAGTTATGTAATAGAACTTACTAGAACTATACCTATGCCTCCTAGAATTAGGTCTCAGTTTTTATGGATTAGGATTCTGAACCAAGTCTTAAAGTCCTGAACCTAAGGACTTTACTATTCCTATTCTTGACATTGTTGAGGATTATAAATAAATTTTTATAATCATATACCTTAGAAAACTTCGTTCTCGACAACATATAGACAGAATCTCAAGTGACTGAAAATATTATTACTATAATTGAAGTCATGGATATTGAATTTTAACAAATTAATTTGTTTACTCTTAATCCTCGTTGTCCAACGCAAAAACATTTTCGTGCTATATTGAATTCTTAACCACCTTTGCAAAAAGAATACAATAACATAAATAAACATTAACTCAGTTAAAAAATTTTTCATGTAACAGAAAGCTCCTAAAGTTTTTAAATAAGAAAATTAATGATTCAGTACGTATACGTAAATTGTATTTTGGTATTGCAAGTTATGGTAAAAGGTTTCACCAATTATTAGGACAATAGTTATGAATCAAATTACTTATTAAGGTAACATTGTCTTAATATTTTGCCTCTAAACTCATGATGGACTTTTTTTTTTGTAGAAACTATGAAAAATATGAACATTCACATAATAGCTTTAATCTACGTCACATTGGACCATTTGTTTCTTATGCGCTAAAGAACACAATCAATAAATTACTATTATGCGGCGTCAATGGGGCGTAATTTTTATGTAGGCCGAATTTCCACGCACGTATGTATGTACATGCGTACAGCATATTTATAGTAAATCGAAAAACCTTTCTCGGAGGGATGTAAATATTTATTTTTGTAAGGCCTGAAAACATGATTGGATCCAGACGAAACAATATCAACATATCGATCAACTTCCCTCCTTCATTGTTCTCGTGCGGTCGGTTTAGCAAATAATTTGATCCATAAATAGAATAATTCCTGATATCTAATTTTTTTCAAATTTAATAGTCTTTAACTCAACAGTTTAACGATTCCATCTAACTTAGTCAATCTTTTGAAAGAAACTTTCATCAACCTCGATTCGAATAATTATGAATAGGAATATTGAACTATTCATTGGTTTGTAATCCTTTCGTTTATTCTTTATTTAAAATCACAATTGTTCAATGTCTTTGGGTTCAAATGGATATAGCATAATAAACAGATATTTTCATCGACCATTAATCTTATTCCTGTTAACAAAATAAAAACAAAATTTCCTTATTTATTAGGCGGAAATAATTTAGAAAAGGCTCCTCCCGGAATCATACAAGAATTTATTAAAGAACACAATGGGCATACAGTAATTACAAAAATTTTAATAGCAAATAATGGGATTGCTGCAGTAAAGGAAATTCGTTCTATTAGGAAATGGGTTTATGAAACATTTGGTGACGAACGAGCTATTCAATTTACTGTAATGGCTACTCCAGAAGATTTGAAAATTAATGCAGAATATATTCGTATGGCTGATCAATATATTGAAGTGCCTAGTGGTCCTAATAATAATAATTTCGCGAATGTAGAATTGATTGTTGATATTGCTGAACGAACAGGTGTTCATGCTGTTTGGGCCGGATGGTGAGCTATATATGTATTATATATGTATATATTATTTATACGCAATTTAACAGATTATATCATAGGGGTCACGCTTCAAAGAATCCTCATTTGCCTGAATCACTCGCAAAAAGTAAAAACAAAATTGTGTTTATTGGTCCTTCAGCCTCTACAATGAGATTTCTTGGTGATAAAATATCATCAACTATAGTAGCGCAGTCGGCAAATGTGCCAACATTGGATTGGAGTGGTAGTGGTATTACTCAAACAGAAACTGATGAGCATAGTAATGTGGTTATTCCCAATTGTGTTTATGAATATGCGCGCATTAAAGATGTAGAAAATGGTTTAAGTAAAGCGAAAGCTATTGGTTTTCCTGTAATGATTAAAGCTTCAAAAAGCAGTGAGAGTAATTATATGCGAAAGGCAACAAATCCTGAAGATTTTAAACAAGCTTTCTTACAAATGCAGAGTGAGATTCCTGGTTCACCAATCTTTATTACGAAGCTCGTAGGAAATGCTCGTCATTTGGAAGTTCAAATTCTCGCAGACCAATATGGAAATGTTATTTCGTTATTTAGTCGTGATTGTTCTGTACAGCGACACCATCATAAAATTATTGAAGAAGCACCAGTTATTATTGCAAAGCATGAGACAATTGAGGCCATGGAAAAGTCTGCTGTACGACTAGTCAAGCTTGTTGGTTATGTTGGTGCAGGCACAGTTGAATATTTATATGATAAAGAAAATGATTTTTTTTCCTTCTTGGAATTAAAACCAAGATTACAAGCTGAACATCCAACTACTGAAATGATTTCTGGTGTTAATCTACCTGCAGCTCAATTGCAAATTGCTATGGGTATCCCACTTCACAGGATTCGAGATATACGAATTCTCTATGGATTAGCACCTCATGGCACTTCAAAAATTGATTTTGATTTCTCTAATCCAGAATCACTGCAAACTCAGAGGAAACCTGCGCCAAAAGGACACGTGATTGCTGTGCGAATAACTGCAGAAAATCCTGATTCTGGATTTATGCCAGTTAGTGGAATGGTACATGAATTGAACTTTCGAAGTAACACAAATGTGTGGGGATATTTCTCTGTAAACTCTGCGGGAGGTCTTCACAAATTTGCTGATTCCCAATTTGGCCATATTTTTGCATATGGTGAGAATCGTCAACAATCTCGTAAAAATATAATTATTGCACTCAAAGAGCTTTCGATTCGTGGTGACTTTCGCACTACTATAGAATATCTAATAAAGTTATTAGAAACTCAAACATTTGAGGAAAATAATTTCACTATTGATTGGCTTGATATGTTGATATCTAATGAAAATCTTACCGTAGAACAGCCAGACAAAATGCTTGCAATAATATGCGGCGCAATTACAAAAGCTTACATTGCATCACAAGAATCCATCACCAGATATAAATGCTTCTTAGAAAGAGGTCAAATTCCTAGCAATGATATTTTGCGAACTACCTTCAATATCGATTTTATATATGAGGGTACATTGTATAAATTTATTGCAACTCAATTTGCCCCTGAATCCTTCATGCTTTACTTAAACGGCTCCAAGGTACAAGTATCGATTCGTGCACTTTCAGATGGTGGCCTTTTGGTATTGCTAGATGGCAAGAGCCATACATGCTATTTTCGTAAAGAAGCTCAAGGAACTCGATTGATGATTGATGATAAAAATTGTTTGCTTGAGCAAGGAAACGATCCAACTCAACTTCGTTCTCCGTCTCCGGGAAAACTTGTAAGATTCTTGGTTGAGTCTGGAAGTCATGTCAACGCTGGAGATGCGTATGCCAAGATTGAGGTAAGTTTTCTTATTTTACTTTGTCTTCTCTTTGGTAAGAAAAAAAAAGAATGAAAAAAGAATGAATGTTAATTGTATGATAGGTAATGAAAATGTATATACCTTTGATTGCTGCTGAAAGTGGTGTTGTACGATTCGTAAAACAAGTAAATGCGATACTTGAGACGGATGAAATTATTGGCATTCTTACTCTTGACGACCCAAATCATGTTCGTCATGCGATTTCCTATGAAGGTCAACTTCCTATTATGAATCCTCCAGTCATTATAGGTGACAAAGTTCATCAAAAATATGCTCATGCCATACATATTATTACGTGTATTTTGGATGGTTATGATAATCAAGCAATGTTACAAAATAGTATCAAAGAGATAATTGAACTTTCAAGAAATCCAGAACTTCCATATTTAGAATTTCGTTCTATTCTATCGACTCTTTCTGGAAGAATTCCAATAAAACTCGATTTATCTCTACAAAGTGAAACAGATCAACGAAACCAAGAATTTCCCGCACAACTTCTTAAACAGATTATCGATAATTACTTGCGTGATTTTGTTGCAAAGACTGATGTTACTAGTTTTATGACATTAATAAATCCTTTATTGGAAGTTATTAATAAATACATATCAGGAGTAAAATATCGTAAATGGAATGATATTATTTACTTTCTAAATAAATATCATGAAGTTGAGATGTTATTCTCAGACTCTGATAAGACTGAAGAAGAAGTTATTCTTGCTTTACGTGATAAATATAAAGATGATTTAGATAAAGTGATTAGTATTGTTTTGTCACATTCCAAATGTAGTTCAAAAAATGACCTTATTATACATCTGTTGGATCAAATTAAACCTGATAATTTTGGGCAAGCACTCAAGTTTTTTTCACCTGTCCTAAGAAAATTGGCAGAACTTCAGGGAGAATTTACAAAGAGTGTTTCGTTGAAAGCACGTGAATTGCTAATTCATGGTCACCTACCATCATATGAAGAACGTTATGTACAAATGGAACAAATTCTCAGAGCAGCAGTTATGAAATGTCATTATGGTGACGATGGATATGACTATCATGCTCCTAGTCATGATTCTCTTAAGGAACTTATTGACACTCGATTTGCCGTATCTGACGTTCTACAAAACTTTTTTTATCATCAAGACGTATGGATTAGTCTCGCTGCGTTGGAAGTATATGTCCGACGTGCTTATCGTGTATATCAACTTATAGACTTTGATTATTATACTGAACAAGCCCCGTATATGATCTCTTGGAGGTTCTTAATTCACAGTACTAATCTGGATACTGCAACAAAGTCTCCTTTACATGCAACGTTCCATAATATAACACGCGTTGAGAATAATATATTTGATTCAAAATATTTAATGCCAAATTCACCCAGTGAGCCCATTTGGATAGGAGTGATGATTTCATGTACTTCAAATGAGCAAGTTGCACAAAACTTTCCACGAATTTTAAATATATTTCGTCAACACGGTTGTAAGGAACGAAGCTCAATCGATGGTAGTTTTGATAATATTCTCTATATTGCCTTAAGGCCAGGTGATGATCCGATAGATGACGAAATTTTGAAAAGAGATTTACAATCTACAATTAAATGTCATGCAGTCGAGCTTCGAGAGTATAAGATTAGACGTGTTACTGTTATCTTATTTCGAAAAGGTCAACATCCCGGATATTTTACTTTTAAGGAGCCACCAAATTATTTAGAGGATTCAACAATACGTCATATTGAACCCGCAATGGCATATCAAGTGAGTTATCATATAAATTCAAATAATAAATTTACCACTTTTTTTATTTTTTTGGGAAGAATTGCTAACTATAATTATAAATAACCTAATTAATTTATTGAAATAGCTTGAACTTTCAAGATTATCAAATTTTGACATTAAACTTTGCTCTAATGGTAATCAGATTCATATTTATTATGCAATTGGCAAAAAGAATCCTTCAGATTGCAGATTTTTTATTCGTGCCTTAGTTCGTCCTGGTCGTTTGAGGTTTTTATTTTAATTTCTCTGATTGTTTGAGTTTTTTTTTTTTTTTTTATTAAACGCATACATATATATTTTGATGATAATTTTTGTAGGAATAGCGTACATACAGATTACCTTTTCTCAGAAACTGACCGGCTTTTAAATGAAATTTTGGATATCCTTGAAATTTGTAGTTCAGAATATAAAAATTCTGATTGTAATCATTTGTTCATAAATTACATTCCAACATTTGTCTTGGAACCACGTCAAATTGAGGAAGCTGTTAAAAGCTTTATTGAAAGACATGGAAAAAGATTATGGAGATTACGAGTTATTGATGCAGAAGTTCGATTCAAAGTAAAAGATCCAATTCAAGGAAAACAATATCCCCTGCGAGCCATAATAAATAATTTTTCTGGATATGTTGTTAAAGTAGAAACTTATCAAGAAGTTAGAACAGAGGGTGATAATTTAATACTTAAATCAATTGGAAAAATTGGATCTATGCATTTACAACATACGCATGTTCCTTATCCAACAAAAGAACGGTTACAACCAAGACGTTTCAAAGCTCATTTAATGGGTACTACATATGTTTATGATTTTCCAGAATTATTTCGCCAAGCAGTTCACACACAATGGAATTATGCTATTGTTAATTGTCCGGAATTAAAATGCCCACAAGATGTATTAGAGGCTAAAGAATTAGCTTTGGATGAAAAAGGACAATTACAAGAAGTTGTTCGTTCAGCAGGTAGTAATACATGTGGTATGGTAGCATGGTTGCTCACACTTTTTACACCAGAATATCCTAAAGGTCGTAAAATTATTGTAATCGCAAATGATATTACATATCAATTTGGGACATTTGGTTTTGTTGAGGATCAATTTTTTACCAAGGCAACTGAACTTGCTAGAAAGTTGGGAATTCCAAGAATATATCTTTCCGCTAATTATGGAGCCAGGGTTGGATTGGCAAATGAATTAATGAATAATTTTAAGGTTTCTTGGAAAAATGAAAATAATCCTAGTGAAGGTATTAATTACTTATTTCTTGATGCCGAAACTTACAAACAGTTGAATCAAAATGAGAAGAAATCTGTAATTGCTGAGAAGCTAGTTGAAAATGGAGAAGTTCGATATAAGATCACGTAACTGATTCACTTATAAATATTATATAGTTTTAAATTCCAAATATAAGTTGGTTATTGATTTTTTCATTGTTATAAAGTGATATCATAGGTATTACTGATGAGCTTGAATTAGGGTCTTTAAAAAGTCCAGGTGCAACATCACAAGCGTACAATGATATATTTACAATTACTCTTGTTACTTGCTGTTCTGTTGGTATATATATATATATAATTTTTTTTTTATCAAAAAATTGCATTAGACATTATTTAATTTTAATTATTGATTTAAATGTTTATTAATATTTAAAGGTATTGGTGCACATTTAGTCCGTCTTGGTCAGCGAACAATCCAAAATGAGGGACAACCTATTATACTTACCGGTGCGTCAGCTTTAAATAAAGTTCTCGGTCGAGAAGTTTATATGTCAAGTTTACAACTTGGAGGAACACAAATTATGCATAGAAATGGTATCACACATCTTACAGCTCAAAATGATCTGGAAGGTATTACCAAGATTATCCAATGGCTTTCTTATGTTCCATCAGCTCGGGATTTGCCAGTACCTATATTTGAAAATTCAGATACTTGGGATCGAGATATTGATTATATACCACCTAAAGGATTATATGATCCACGTTGGCTATTGGCAGGCAAATATGAAGCAGATAATTGGATCAGTGGATTTTTTGATCGAGAATCTTTCTTAGAGACATTAGGTGCTTGGGCAAAGACAGTGGTAAGTTTAAATAACAATGTTATAACAATGTTACTATGGTAATATATTATAAAATTAAATTTTTTTTTTCTAAAAAAGGTAGTCGGTCGTGCACGTCTTGGTGGAATTCCCATGGGAGTAATTGCAGTTGAAACACGTACAGTGGAGCATATAATACCTGCAGATCCAGCTAATTCGGAATCACAACAAGAAATTATTATGGAGGCAGGACAAGTTTGGTATCCAAATTCAGCTTATAAAACAGCACAAGCAATAAATGATTTTAATAAAGGAGAACAACTCCCTTTAATGATATTTGCAAATTGGCGAGGATTTTCAGGTGGTCAACGTGATATGTTTTTAGAGATATTAAAATATGGATCATATATTGTTGATGCGCTTATAGATTATAAGCAACCAGTTTTCGTTTACATAGTGCCAAATGGAGAACTTCGTGGAGGAGCATGGGTGGTAGTTGATCCAACAATTAATGAAAGTAAGATGGAAATGTATGCAGATGAAAAAGCTAAAGCAGGAATTCTTGAACCGGAAGGTATTGTTGAGATAAAATATCGAAATGCACAGTTAATTTCTACAATGGAACAATTAGATGAAACATATAAAAAACTTAAAAAATCATTAGAAGATCCTTTAAAAACAGAGGTAGAGAAAAGCAAAATTGAAATACTTTTAAAAGCACGGGAACAAGAGTTACTTCCAGTATATTCTCAAATTGCTTTACAATTCGCGGAATTACATGATACGCCTGGTAGGATGAAAGCCAAAAATGCGATTCGCAAGATTTTGGAATGGAAAAATGCTAGAAGATTCTTTTATTGGCGTGTAAGAAGACGTATACATGAAGAATATATGTTTAAAAAATTAATTAACATTAATCCTAACTTTACAAGAAATCAAATGAAGAAATATTTAACGGAATGGTTTTATAATGATGTTGGGACAGAATTTGATTGGGAAGAATCTGATTTTAAAGTTGCAAAATGGATTGATGAAATGCTTGAAAATTTCAGTGATGATGAAAGAAACGAGGGTAATAATATTATTAATATGAAATCTAGCACTAACAAAAAGGATTTAATAAATTTAAGAATCAAAAATATTAAGAATGAAATGATAACAAAAAAAGTAGTTGAACTAGCAAAAATAAATCAACAGGCTGTAATAGATGGAATATCTAAAATATTAGGAAGTTTAGCTTCGGCGGAAAAAACAAATATTTTGGAAAAGTTGGATAAAACTTTAAATAATTAGCGTCCTATGTTATCCATTCTTCTTATCTATTCATATAACGATAATAAGCTTGTATAATTCACCTAAATAAGTTCTTTTAATTATGAAAAATCCTTCTTTATACCAGGGGATATTAATATCCACCCCTATTTTATAGTAAAAAATAGTTTTTTTTACCTAAAATTTAGGGTTAGAGTGCAGTTTAATATTCAAATAGGGGCCAGATATTATGGTCCAAATTTTAGATTACACATAGTTTTCAGAGTTCTGAACATTTTTACTTAGTACATCTGACACCTGTTTCTTAGTCAATTTTTTGAGATATAGCACTCTGGATATCAATATCCCCCGGTATAAATTATAAATATTCTTTAATTATATAATAAAATTATTATTATTAATTATTAACTTTATTTTGCAAAAAAAGCAAGAAAAAAGTCATGCAAATTTAATACCTTAATTTTCATAACATGAAACTTTAAATTCATACATAAAAAATTTATAAATATTTTTTTAAAAAACCCAACCCAACCCAGTTACGTATTAAACTAATTGTTAAAATTTTGGTTATGATATAAATTTCATAGTAAAAGTCGGCGGAGAACTACTATGTAAAAATCATAAGCTTATATAGTTATGAAGGAGAAAATGCGATCTACTAAGCCAATTTTAATAATTTTACCGCTATTAGAACCGGAATAACTTGCTCTATAATATTTGTTGGAAACTCAATGAAGTTTTACTTGGCATAAAAACTTTTCGTTGTAAGCTAGTTGCATCCCAACCTATAGAAAAACTATATCAATTTTCGAAATTTCTATTATTAAATTTGCTATTTTTTATACCCTTTAACCGCGATTTATCTCAATTAATTTTGTATGGCCTAAATTTCGACCAGCCAAAATTTTATTGCAGTTTGCATAATTTTGCGAAATAAGATCAAAAAAAAAAAAAAAAAAAAAAAAAAAACCCTAAGAAATCGTTCGATTGTTTGATTTCTTAAAACTACACCGATATCTCTGGATGTGAAATTTTCACATCGGAGTAATTAGAAATCTAACAATCGAGCGATTTCTTAGTGATTTCTTTTTTTTTTTGATCTGCAAATTTTACAAAATTATGTAAATTGCTATCTAATAAAAATTTCAGTTCATGCGATTTACTCATTCACATATTCAATAATGAATAACATCGTTTGATATATCGTAATTATTAACGTTAAATCGTTTGACCTGAAAATTTTTTGGGTAGCGATTTAAACGTTCTGTAGGGATGGTCGTCGTTAAAATGATTATCGTTATGTACTAATTCGGATCAAAACTATTGAGTAATTTTTAAGCGGCTAAACGGTTCCAATCCGTAACAACAGGAGCGACCGTTCAAATTTTATACATTTTGCATTGCTTCTTTTAAAAGCTCGGTCATCTTAATTTTCTATGAAACGAGAGTAACTTTAACGAATGAATTAATATTTTGCTTCGCTCTATAACATATTTTTTGAATCCCATGAATCTCACAACTCTTTTTTTGTAATCTGATTGGCCGATTTGCTAAAACTCGAGATATGATTGGTTGACAATCACGTTTAATTGTATGGGAATCTACGAATTTGAACGGTTGCTCCTGTTACTGCTAATACTATATACAAATTTTCACTCACCTCGTAAGAGATGAGTGAAAATTTGTATACTGTATTAGGAGGTGACCGAATAAGTTACACGAAAATCGTTCAGTGATCACATAGGACGTGTCTGATAAGAAAAATTGGACTTTTATGCCTTAGTAGCTTAGGTGCATGAAAATCCAAAATCGGTTACCATTACTTCAATTCGGCTTATTAAGACTCGAATTCTAGTGTGATAGTGGAATCAAATATTGCCATTTATTAATATTCAAAAAAAGCACAGCACGAAAGTGATTAATAATTCCCTCCGATATTACAGTTAAGTGGAACAATGAGTTTCATATTATGCTTAGTATTTTCATGATGGCTCAATGATAATTTCGAAGTGTATAATTATTACAAAGGTGGCAATGAAAAGGTTTGTGGGATGCCATAATATTAGTACATATAAATTATTTATCCCCCGGTTCTTATTTATACTTCCGTACTATTTTTTCATGGTTATTGTCCAGATTCCAGATTCGGGCTGATCCGGAATTTTTAATTGACAATTTTTTATATCATAACATTTACAAACTAGGCAGATATTTTTTTTAGCAATAATTTAATAGCTTTAAATTCATAAAAGCTATATTATACAATGCATTTAATATAATTTTATGCAGTATATTTAATATAACTATTACTTAAATATAATTTTAACATTTCCAGCATTATGCAATTCGAAAATATTCATAGTTCCATCTTTAGCCACTATGATGTTTTGTGTTTGATCTTGAAGTTTTTTAAGGGTGAACGAAAGGGCCTAGTTAATTTTAATTGAACTTCTTCGGTTAGTTTCAGAACCCTTTTTTTAAATTGAATGCCTTTCTGTTGTGTTAAAGTTTGAGGTTTTTAGTCAAGACTTGAGACATTTTTTGGGTAAATACTTGAAATATTTCTTGGGACAGAAATTCTTTATTAGTTGGAACTTGAAATTCCAAGGGTAAAACTTGAAATTCTTGTGTTATAATTTGAGTTTCTGAAGTTTCGGATAGAGATTCTGGAGTTTGAACTTGATATTTTGGAGTTTCGATTTGAGATTCTGGTGATTGAATTTGAGATTCTGAAGTTTAGACTTGAGAATCTTGAATTGCATTGATTAGTAAAGTAATATTTTTGAGCCATTGCTCATTATTAGAGACTTTATAAGATTGTAGTCTATTGACTGAATGGTGATCTGAAAATTCCATTATTTCATGTTCATTTACATTAAGGGTAGGGTATATGTAGATCATTTTTCATATAATCTACGTGGTATATTAGATTTTTATATAGTAAATAAAAAATGCTTCTAATAAACTTTATATCTGCCGATTTGATTTTTAGGGATCTTTTTTTGATAAACGGTTATATGAACTTTTGCCATTAAATGACATGAAGAATAACAAACAAAACTTTCAATAAAAAAGTTTTTTTTCTCTGTATGAAATAAATAAGCAATAAATACTAAAATACAGCCATGTTAAGTCATAAAAAAAAGCACTATCACTAGTTGTTGAAGTGTTCAGATATTTTTGAGTAGTGAATAATTGGTTTGTCATTGAGAATGATCAGTTGTAGAATGGGTATGTGTGAATTTAGAAGCAATTTTTGATGCAGATGGTCTTTTAAACTTACTTTTAGCTAATAATTAAACATGTAGATATTGCAATATTCTATATATTTAATTATAGATTCAAAGTAAGTTTAATAGACCATTTGTGTAAAAACTTACTTTGTAATAAATTTTAATGACAAATAATTCTCAATCATGATTGGCTAATTTTGGAGACAAACCAAATCAGCTGATATGTTTTAATATCTTAATCAATTTGTATAAAATTTATATAATATGTAATTTAAATAGTTCATTTATGATATTGAAGTTATGCAATATGCAATACTTTAAAAAAAATCAACTTCACATATAATTAAAATTTTTTAAATCACTATATATTTTTTCTAGATAGTACAAAGAATTGCTAATTCTAATTAGTCAAATCATATGATATTTATATACAAATCATATGATATCATATAAAATTAGTTACACAAAGTTGATCCACAATTTATTTTATATAAAATTAGAAATTTGTATACTCTACTTTTCAGAATAATTAGTAATTCATTAGTTATTAATATAATATTTGAAGTTTGCATAATATTATTTATCATATTTGGTGATTCTCTAAACAACAACAACAAAAAACTGTACTACAAAAAAACAATATAGGAATGTCCAAGATAGATATTTCTCAGTCCTATTTTAGAGTAAAGCAGTTGTTAATGAAGTCTAAAGACATAAAACATTGAAGAATGAGCATTTTTTAGACAGTTTTTCTTGGTGTTAAACTTTGCTGTTTCTGGTAAACTCTCTAAGTTATTTGGCATCCAAATCAGAAGGGTATTCTGAAAACTTTTTTATCTCCTTATAGATTGTTGTTAATAAAGTTCAAGAGATGTGATATACCAAGAAGTGGGTGTAACTTGAACAGTTTTTTTTGGGTCAAGTTTTTTTTGCTAATTTGTCAAACAGACTTTCTAAGTTATTTGGCATCCAAATCAGAAGGCCTATTCTGAAACAAATAGTAGTTAAAAGACTCTCGCTAAGATAGTTGAAGCTTGAAGAATTGTTTATACAACTGTAAAACTTACAGAAGAACCTCATATACTTTCACTGTTCTTTTACTTTTTTTCAGAGAAAATTTTGTAAAAAAGTGAGTGATTTAGCTTATCTTTTTAAAAGATCGATTGTTTACTTATTAAATTAATCACATTGTTTACTTTTTTAACTATCACAACAAACACATAGATACATATAGAATTAGACATGTGAATTACATGCCTTGAAGGTAGCAACCTGAACAAACAATAACTTAAAATCTTTGATGCAAATTTTTGACTTTTTTAACCTCTCTATAGTGCTGATATCGAAAAAGCTATTTTTTTTTACCTTGTTGCAGAGTTTTTTGGTTCTATATCAATATCCTAAAGATAAAAATCCTGAAGATACTAAATCCTGATATACTAAATTCTCAAAGAACAAAAACCTGAAAGTATAATATCCTGAAAATT